GGCCACGGCCATACTTCGTTCCGCTCCTCAACACGGACGTCCTTGAGGACAGACAGGAGGACCTTGAGTGTCTTGCAGCCGCTGCGCCTCATCTCCTGTCCATGCTGATTGCCCCTAAGGGAGACCCGGATGCTCCAGACATCCCGACCCGGCGCTCTTACGTTGAGGCGATCGCGGGTGAGTACTCCTCTCGGTGGCATTCAGCCATGGATGCAAAGATGGCATCCTGGAAGTCCACTGGCACTTACGTTGACAAGGTTCCCCCACCTGGGGCGAACATCGTCAGTGGCATTTGGATTTTCAGGGTGAAGCGGCCGCCGGGTTCTCCGCCTGTCTTCAAGGCTCGTTACGTGGCTCGAGGCTTGAGTCAGCGAGAGGGAGTAGACTTCTTTCAGACCTTCTCCCCCACCCCGAAGATGACCACTCTTCGGGTGTTATTGCACGTTGCTGCTCAGCGTGACTACGAGTTTCTTGGCGTTCTACTCGCTCGTCTTCTGTTCTCAGCTCCAGTTGTGAGGCTGAGATCTACGCCACAGCCATGGCTGCACAGAAGCTACGCTGGCTCACCTACCTGCTGACCGACTTGGGAGAGCGGCCTAGTTCTCCTCCAGTGCTGTACATCGACAACAAGGCTGCCATTGCCTTGTGTGAGGAGCACAGACTGGAGCACAGAATGAAGCACATCGCTCTCCGTTACTTTTTGGCTCAAGAGCTGCAGCAGCGTGGTCAGCTTCGTCTGCGCTACGTGGCCACTCAGGCCAACACCGCTGATATATTCACCAAGGCACTCCAGTCTGATGGTCATCAGCGTTTCTGCACTTTGCTTGGGCTTCTGCCCACGTTTCCTCAATTGCTGTATGCTTTGCCTGTACTGTGATCACTATATATACCTACCTGCCCATTTGTTTTGCTAGGTTGCGATCATCTTGTTGTTTGTACTGCATATATGCCACTGCATGTGAACTTGCCCTGAGGCCCTTTGCTTGTGCTCGGAGTGTGTGGTGACGTTGTGATCCACCCTGAGCTTGTTTACCTTTCTTGACTGGTCTTGTGACCCCTTGCTCTCCCCCACTTTGCCTATGGGGGTGTGTCAAACACAATAAATGTGTTATTGCTGAGTAGGCTATATAGGGTTAGCCTATAGGGGGTACACAACTCTTAGGGTTTCATACTTGTACTGCAATGTTGCCTCGTTCATTCACTTCTCTCATTCTGACAGTACTCGCTATAGAGTACCCCACTGCAGGCTAGACAAATACAACACATTCTGACACACCCGCATAGCCAAAGTGGGGTGTAATCAACACAATAAGCAGTCATAGAGCAGGTTCACAAGGACAAGCAAAGCTAGAGGCATTCACAGAGGGCAAGTGAGGAGGAGGAGGAGGGAATGTAAGAGGAGAGGAGACCGGAGGCGACGACGGAAGCTGTAGACACATGGTGGCGGCTGGCTCAGTGGCAACCGAAGCAAAGGCCCGGACTACATTAGTAACTAGCTCCGCAGCTACTCCGAGCGGCTGGAGGAACTGACCTACGGGCGACTGGCGACTACTGGAGATTGTAGCCTCCGGACTACTGGCGTTGCTGGCGACACGACGGCTCAACCTCCGCTCAACCTCCCCCAACTGTCCCACCCTCCTTTCACACACCCCTTGCTGCACCCCTAGCTCCACTCCCACGTCACCCCCTTAGCACCACTTCTTCGGCTCCTACACACCCACCACCCTCAGCGGCAGCTGCAGTAGTGGGAGACAGAGAAGGAGGAGGAGCAGGGGACGGTTCACACACCCGCCACCCCCATACCCCCAACGCAGGGCAGAAACGCGGGCAGCAGCTGGGGCGGCGTGTGAGCGGAAGCGAGGCGCCGCGCGGGCCCCCAGGGCACCTCGACGAGCGACGGGAGGGGGCGATGCGCGAGCTCCCAGGGCGCCGCGACGGGCGACGGGAGGGGTGACGCGCGGCCCCTCAGGGCGCCGCGACGGGCGACGGGAGGGGCGACACACAGCCCCCCAGGGCACCGCGATGAGCGACGGGAGGGGGGGGGGGGGGGGGGGGGGGGGGGGACGCACTGGCCCCCTGGGCGCGGCGACGGGCGACGCGCGGCCCCCAGGGCGCCGCGACGAGCGACAGGAGGGGGGGGGGGGGGGGGGGGGCGGGGGACGCGCGGGCCTCCAGGGCTTCCCGACGGGCGACGGGAAGGGCGACGCGCGGCCCCCCAGGGCGTCGCGACGGGCGACGGGCGACGCGCAGGGCAGCGCGCAGGCCCCCGAGGCGCCTTGTGAGGCAGTAAACCGCCACGCGCCTCAGGGTGCAGGGCGGGCAGAAAACCGCCATGCACCTTGAGCGCGTGGCGGGAAGAAAAAACACGTCGGGCGCCACGGGGCGCGCAACAGACAGGATAGCAGCGGAACTAACGGTGGGCCCACAGGCCAGGAGCGTAACCGCTCTGATAGCATGTCAAAAAAAGCTGGTAGAAAAATATAACAGGAAAGTGGGTTTGCACCAGGCCTCTGTATAGGATTTGAGGTACTTTTTCTCGTAAGGCCAACACCTAGCTGTTACTCTTTCAATAAAGGTGGTTTATAGAAACTGCTCTTACCTTATATAAGGTGTCAGTGTTGCAGTGTGTTGAGTCATCGAAGACATGTGGAGGACAGGGCAAATTTTTGGATTTGACATACCCTTAAGATCAGTGTACCCCTATCTCAAAAAACTGATTATCAGTGTGACCCCCTACAGAAAAACTTTCACATCAGGGTATTTTTAACTTTTAAAAAATTTACCATGTCGCATCAGTGTAAGATTATTGTAAAGCCTGGTCATTTTTTTTAATGCTGCACACAATACAGATCCTACTCATCCTACGCAAACAAGCAGCGGAGCCTGCCTCAGTCGTGCAAGGAACGCGGTGCCCAGTGGGCTAGTGGGCACCGAATTGTTGCTGCAGTCAGCCAAGTTTCCAGCCAACCCGGCCTTGTTGTCAAGTCTGACAAACAGACCAACTAGCGGAGGTGGCGGTGCCAGCAAAGAAACAGTAACCCTGGCCAATAGTGGCCCTCTGTGTGCCAGCACAGGAGTTGTCAAGGCCGAAATTCCGGCCTCAGTGGCCTTGGTGGAATCCCAGGTTACGGGAAAGGGGGGGTGGGTGAACCGGGGGGAGGGGGGGGGTAGGGTACGCGTTACAGGGTAAAACTTGTTACGGGATCCGTAAACCCTTGGCCATCAGTGTGCCTTACAAAAAAAACCAGACACATCAGGGTAAATCAACCTCCCCAAAAAAAAACCCTAGCCCATCAGTGTGACCATCAAAAACCACCCTGATTATCAGGGTATCAGGGTGATTTACACTGATAAAATTAGGCCTGGTGGAGGACCCATGATTGATACCCAGCAGGATCACACGACGTGGGAAATATGTTTTACGCGACCAATCCTAGAATCCTTTCTTAGATTGAACTCAATTTCATCGGTGCTACTACATTATGTAGCTCTGAATTATCAGTGTCGTAGAATCGAACATTTTTTTTTGTAAGGGTCGAAAACAAAACCAGTCTTGTAAAAAAGGGTGCATCGTAAAACCCGCCCATATAGTAAGGGTTATAAGGGTGAATCACTATGATATCGAGAGGCCAGGTTTGCACTAGCGGGCGGTTGAGTACATATAGGAAACCCTTAATTGGGATGTAGTCGCTATAGAGTACCCAACTGCAGGCTAGAAAAATACAACATTCTGACAGACGACCCCTAAATAGGGAAAGTCCTAGCTAGGCGGGGAGGTTGGGCGAGGATGGCTCGGTGATGGTTGCGATTGGTGCGGAGGCGACTCGGGAGTGGTTCGGTGCGACGAAATAGGAAGAACAGGTTCGTCGCGTGACCCTCGAGATGGCCTCGTTAACGAGTGCCTCAGTAAGGATTTGTAAATCCTTACAGTTGAAGTGAGAAGGTTACATTTTTTTTTAAATTATAGCAGAATATGCGTGGTTGCCTTGCATTATTCAGTGCTGCGATCCTAGAGCACCGACCATGAATTCGCCACCAATAATTGCATGGTCGTCGGTGCCTCTACCTCGTGTCGTCGTGGCGTGTCGTCGTCACCAACTGAGATCGGTGCGAACTTCTTGTCGGTTGGGTATGCTTCTGTAGAGGCCTTGTCGTTAGCATTGCTACTGAGACCGGATTTCACCCCGCTCCTCCTCGAACAACCCCACCTTCTCTGACATGTGTTTCCCTCCCCCAACCTTCAACCCGCTCTTGCGGTCCAACCACATCACATCCTCACAAAATACCCACCCATGTCGAGCATATTCTCGAAATATCCCGAGAATTCATGTGTATTCGAACATCACACCACACCACAGCTGATTTATTTTAGCGAGCATGGTTGACGTAAGATTCTAGATAGTGCTTTTGTTCGTGCGAGGGCAGGGACAACTGGCTAGCTGGGCAGGGAAACGCGGTTGTGTTGCGTTGCGTCGTGGCTGTGGAGTTGAAGCCCCTCCTGACAAGTCACACGCGTCGCTCCCAACCCAGCCAGCAAGCCCCAACCCGCCATTATTTAGGGCACTCGCATCATAGCCGAGGCGAATCTGATTTGAGACATTGTGTAGTTCACTTGCAGTTTTGTTCACAAGTTCAAGAATTTACCAATGCAGAGCAGCGCCACTACCTCTCAGATTGCTAGCGGTAGCAGCAGCACAGAACCCGACAATGAAGTTATTATCGCAGGTCGTTATCGCCGTGTGCGTCTCCTCGGTAAGGGCTCTCAAGCTACCGTGTGGGAGTGCGAAGATCTTCTCAACCCCTCAGGCCCTCACGTCGCATGCAAGTCCTTTTCCCGCCTTAAATCCTCCGCCAATCGCGCTATAATCAACGAGGTTCTCGCTCTGAAGAAGCTAAGAGGCCACTCGAATATCGTCGACTTTATAGATTTGATAGTCGAGGCTGACGAGTGCCACGCAATTGTAGAGCTCGCGCCGGAAGGCGACCTGGTTCTGGAGATAATGGAGCGCGGTCCGATGGTGAACGAGGCGCAGGCGGTGAACCTGGCGCGGCAACTCGCATCGGCCGTGGCGTTTTGCCACGCGAGCGGCATCGTGCATCGCGATATCAAGCCCGACAACGTGCTGGTCGTCATGCGCCCCGTGGACCATAACCACCACCATCACCTCCCGTCGTCCCCTTCCGCTGACGACTCCGATCTTCTGGCCGTCGATTTCCCCTCGTCTCCCAAATCTACCCTCAAAGACGCCGGGCCTCTCTCCTCCTCCTCGTTCTCCCCGTCCGCTTCTTCCTCCTTCTCCTCGTCGACCTTCTCCCCGTCAACTCCCTGCTCCTCGTCCCCGTCCTCTCCCACCATTACGACCAGCGGTTCCCGTCGTGGCGCTTCGCGGTCGCCGTGCTCCTTGGCCTCGTTCTGCCTGCTGGACTGGCTCTCCACCCCCGACGCAGCTCCCACTGCGGATAATTCCGAGTCCCCGTCCACCTCGCACCACACGGATGACCAATGTGGGATCGTGAATGGAGGTGCCACCGCCGCCCACAAAACTCCAGGAAATGAGAATGCAGGGGGGTCCGCGGATTTGGAGGTTGAGTCTCCGCCAGCAGCGCCGATGACGAGCGCACAGCGTCGTGAGCTGGTCGTCGGAGTGAAGCTGACCGACTTCGGGGGCTCTGCCGTGCTCAAGGGCGGGCTAAGCGGTGTTGTTAAAGGGCGGGGCGCGGGAACGCGCGGGTACATGGCGCCGGAGGTGATCACGGGACAGGCGTACGGGTGCAAGGCTGACGTGTTCAGCCTCGGGATCACTCTGTCCACCATGCTGACGGGACATATCCCCGCCACGCCTGTGGACTTCTCCAAGCCCATCTGGGAGAACGTGCCAGAAGGCGCGAAGGATCTAATCCGTCAAATGCTTTACATGGACCCGAATCGACGGCTGAGCTCGTTTCAGGTGATGGAGCATCCGTGGCTGAATCAGCCAGAGGCGAGGCGTGCGGATGTCACTACCAGGTACCCCAGCCTGCTGCAGCCTTTAGCAATGGTGACGACGGAGATGGCGTACTGTCAGGGCAGTACAAGTAAGGGCGGCAGCGGGGTCAGTGGGAGGAAGTGCTGCAGTGGTCAAAGGAATGCAGATCGAAGTGCTCAAGTTGAGTGCGAAGCAGCAGCCCCATAAAGGATCCATCGCAGAAGCTGTTTGCAGCAGCTCATTGCAGAATAAGGGAAAAGCCCTCAACAGCCACCTTGGCTAGTCATACGAAGCAATGTCAGTTGCTTCTAGAAACGTGGGAGGAGCTGCAGGTGATGCCCACATCACGCTGGGAGGGAGCCTGCTGGCTTGTAGACGATGTTCTGGCTGATTTCTTCCCGTCACAGCAACGCTGTGGAGTTGTGAGCAGTTGCTCTCGCCATGCACCGGAAGAGCAACTGGGCACAACACTTACAGCTTCATATTCTCTGCTACTGAGTTGAATGCTGGCACTGAGAGCCAGCAGTGATTAGCAGTGTTCTTGTGGTATTTGTCTCACAATTGAAGGCATCCTGCCATTTGGATGTTTTAGTACTGGCACACGGTACAATTGTGTCATTCATTATCCTACAGTGGTATTGTGTTTTGCAACAAATTGAAGGATGACCTACTGGTAAGAGTCAAGAAGAATTATCAAGAAGAACGCACATGCTAACTGAAGCCATCAGCAGCTGGACCTGTCACTGCACAACAGCCATACCGTACTTGCCCCCACAGAATGCTCAGGAGAAACTACACCAGCCAGTGCAGCAATTTATTTGAACGTGGGCTGCATGCGATCCTCAGGCAGCTCCTCCAGTGACGACCACCATGCACGCTCGTCCATGGACGCCCCCAGAAAGCTACGCTTTCTCTTCTGCGGAGTTTCTGTGGTGCTAGACTCCACGTAACCGAACGAGTCCTCGGGCACCCACACCCCAGACACGGGATCTGGCTTCCAGCACTGGATCTTCCTCGGTTTCGCGGAAGGTGATGCTGCTTGTAGCTCGTCGGTCTTAGCACTGCTGCCGGGGGGTGAAACGGCTGCGGCTGAAAAGGGCCTGCAGGAAGGGAAGAGGCGCGGATGCAACTAAACACAATGGGGAAAGATGGATCATGGCCACGGAGCAGAATGGGGGTAAGGCGACCAAACGTGATGAAGTACTGGAAAGAGGTGACAAGGAAACGAAAAAAGGAAACGGTGTATGTGAAAGATGGGGAGAACGAGGGTGGCCGAACTGGTGACGGCGGTGAATGAGCAAACGAGATGAAGTGCGTGAGTGATAGAAGCGTTTAAGGCAGCCAAACCTACCGCGAGAAAGCGAGGGCTGTAAGCCCTTGGCGACGAGAAAGGTTGGACCCTAGCCGCAACATATCAACAGCCGCCCTCGCCATAACCCCGTGATACTACTGGGGCTAGAAGAGCAAGCAGACGATGCCAGACGCCAGAAGATCGGACTGGGCTCAATCAGATATCCCAACTCTTGTTTAGTTTAGTCGCCGAAATGTAAAGTGTTGGGATGGTGTGTGTGTTGGGACAGGAGTGCTGGTGACGGGGCGGAGTGGAAACTGGGGAACACATGGGATATCATGACAGGTGGCGGACAAACCAATACCAACAGCGCTAGCGAATTGACGGATCGCGAAGCTGCTCGTCATGAACGCCATTTAGAACCGTGATTGGTGGGAAGTGTACCCTGAAAAGATAGTGCGGGTGTGGGTTCTAAGAACATCACATACACGTCAGAGGTGGGCCATACTAGCTTTGAAAAAGATGAGGTGGTCCCCACCTAGGACGCGGTACAAGTGCCCAGCCAGCTCGGATGGAGCCGAAATTTAGCTTCCTTCTACACAGACTAGCACTGTTTTATTTCAGCCATTCTTATTTTTACAAATGAACTGAAATGCACTCAAGATAGGAAACTACACAAGTGTGTAAAAACGCTAGAATAGCCCGAACCACATCAATGGTCGCTCGTGCCCCACAAATGCAATACTAGCTCTCATTTCGTTACACTCGTGCAAGTTCTATGTTTCTTTCTGTTTTTTTTTTCCGTATCGTTTACATATAATTCTGTCAGAAACTGAATTGTCTGTTCATTGATGTAGGTTGGAGTACATATAGCAAATCCTAATATTTATACCCCCTAAGACAAGTCTCACTACAGGCTACAACATTTGACAAATTCACTCCTTGCTCTGATTAACACACAAAATTGCTCTGCAGCAGTTGCGACTGTCAAGTATTGTGCACTTCTCTTTAGTGTATCTTTCATAAAGAAAAAATGTTCTGTAGGTCTCCTGTTCACATAATATAGCACCAAGGACCAGCTAGTTGTCAAGAATGAGTGAAAGCATCTGAAACATGCAATCTGGCACTTGCATGACCATATGCTGCAGCACTCGCCTACCGGTACATTGATATTATCTCGGTCATACGCACACTCACATCCTAGACTTCCACCATCGCCAATCCTATTAGTGCTTCCTGTTAGCAGCCACGTTAGCTCGCTCCTTTTTCCCGTGACTGTGCCTCGCTTTCTTAGCCCCATTCTTCTTGGCCCCATGTTTCTTCCTCCTCGACCCATCAGTGCTCTCTGTCCTCACCCTGCTGCTCACTAGGCCTGAGCTAGTCAGGCTGTTCGCGCTGGCCATACCGCCACTCGCTTTCCCGCATCCGCGAACCTGGTTGCAAGCGAGCAGTGCGCCGTTCTCCCCGCATGTGCACTGCTCACAGCGCCCCCTGGGGCCTGGCACGCCGTCTGTCCCCTCGACGTAAAACTTGGGACCCCAGCTCTTCCCCGCCGCCACGCACACCGCCTCCTCGCCAAACCCCTCGCACGTGCCCTGGTCCACTGGCCGACCATCGTTGTCCTGTCCTCCACCGCCCACAGTGTGAATCATGCACCTGGGGATTTTGACGCGGAGGAACAATGACGTGAGTGCGGGCAGTGAAAATTATATATACAGGAGAAAAAACCGTCGTCAAGGTTCAATATCATCCATGCCTCACCTTCGGGTCTCAGGGCAGATGATGCCGTTTCCCTTGGGCCCCTTCACCAGGTCGCCCTGCCAGTCCACGTAGCACGGACCCACGTCCTCGCAGTCGCACTCCGCCGTGTTCACCCCGATCAAGCTTCCAACACCGCTCCTCCCACCTGCTCCCCCCCGAGTCCCCGCTAAACGCCATCCCTCGATACTGTTTATGGAGGCGGCGTAGTCAGCAGCGGCGGCGGCGACGGCGGCCACCTCCTGGGCCTTCTCAGGGTGGTTGGTGCAGGTGCAGCGCGCGCAGGCCGGATTGCCCTTGATTCCCTGCGTGCCCACTGCATACGGCTGACTCGTGTACATGCAATGAGAACCCACTGCGGGTACAGGAGAAGGGAATGGGAGTCGAATGTGAGAAAGTGAGAAGCTTACACGGGATAAAGCGTAAAACGTCAACGAGTGAAAAGAAACGGACTGTACGTCTGTCACTAGAAACTAGCCGCAAATAGTGCGTCGGCTTAGTGGAAGGTGGGGTTGGGCAATGAAGTGAAGTGCGCTGCGACGTACGAGCGTAAGAAGAATTGCAGAAACCGGTGAAGAAGGCGCTCGCGGGTGTAGGAACACGCGTTACCACGCAACTGAAAGGTTCACAAGGGGTGGAAAGCCACGAAGTGCGGAAAAGTTACATTGCAACGCTTACGCCACGACGAACGAGGAGCGGAGGTGGTGGGTAGAGGAAGATGAGAACACGGACGAGCGAGGAGCGGAGTGAAGGGACTCAACTGGAAGGAGCTGGAGGCGCAGGGAAGGCCGATAGGTTGGTGGTTGGCGTTGAGCGTACACCTGGCGCCGTCGGGTAAGCCATCCTTGTTAGCAGCCGCTGTTGAGACAATTCGAGAGGTCTTGTGGCCTGTGTGTGTGTAAGGGAGAGATAGAAATGGACGGGTTTTTTATGGCAGCGAGGAGGTCAAAGGCGTATGAACAGGTGTTGATAGGAATTGAAGCCTGTGGAAGATACCTGGAAGAAACATGTGGGTATCGACAGAAACGCCACCGCGGACCTCAGGAATTACTCACCATGAGATAAGGCGAGGGGCATTGAAGCCAGTGTCAGCAGTACCGCCAACGTTACCACTAGCGCCCGCATTTCAAAGCCTTTCCAGCTGCGTGGCGTTGAGGCCGCCATCGGTCAGATGAGACGCAACCACAGGAAAACTCTAGCAAGACGTGGGTCGCACACGGAATCCAGTCAGTTTAGGAAGTGCAGATGTATTTTCCTTGTGGAGAACATGTATTTTTCTTGAACTTGCGCAAAGAGTGCTGAAATACGAGAAGCTGCTGAAGCGGATACGCAAGCAGTTCACGCCTTCATATGAGGAAGTGCTTGTTCGGTGGTTCTGATGTGATGGAGTGGGACCAAGTTTGATGATGTTTCAAATTGGGGCTGGGAAGAACAGGGGCGCATTGGCGGACGTGCCCGTTGCTGAAATCGAATCGCGTTTCGGGCAACATTGAAACACCGGCATCGCGATTTGTCAACGGCAATCAATTACTGGATCAGTATATCATGCAATTAGAACAATCTTCCGCAAACACGAATAAGCACAAGTTCCAACGACTCTTGGTTATTGTCCGCCAAAAAAAAAGTTTTTCACAGTTCGACCAGCTCTCATGTTATCAAGGTGTGGCAACGGCATTTGCAATTATGCGCGGTCGGAACTTGTTTGTGGGCTGAGGAAACCAATGTGCTTCGAAATTCGTGCCCGTGAAATGTGATGTTCCGTTGCGGGGCTGAGCGCTGTCGGCGGCAGGCACCCATGGCGCGAATCCACCACCCCCTTTTTGACTAGTTGGCCAAGACCCGACATAGCCACGTGTATTTTGTCTAACGATTTATGTAAGAAACGCATTATGGTAATCTCGTTGATGTTCATGCTACCGGTATGTGTAAGGAATTTTCTCTAACATTCCTTATTGCGACCATCAACATCGCATACAGCAGCAGCCGTTGTTTGCCCGTTACTGCTAACGGGGCTTCGCCAACTTCGCGCGCACTGTTTCACCAAACCATGCACCGCTGGCCCGGCGGAATCAGCCTACGCTTTGGGGCTAGCCCAAACCTCGATGCCAGCCTAGCAGTAGCTAGCTCGCAAGCACCGCGTAACCGTTGCATGTTTTCA